AGCATTTGGACGGTAGAGCTAGATCACGCACAACCACACCTCTAGGCACTCACAGGCTGCTGAAGCACGCGGGAGAAAACTTTGAAGTTTCAGTAAAGACCTTGGCGCATGAATCCATATCACTATCTATCAAATGTCTGGAAGCCTTTTGGATTCACGCAAAAGGTCCACAAATGAATCGCAAAGATGAGTGCCTCGCAATCACTTGTAAACTCGCTCCTTACTTGGGTCACCTCTTTTGACCCAGAGGAGGGTATAAATAGCGTGGCATATATGATCAGTCAGTAGCGCTCGCTCAGGCACCTATATGCTATCGGCGTTTTCAAAAAGGTAAGTGTTTGGTTTGGCGGCCTACACAGCGATCAGGCATTGTCTTAGAACTTTGCTTGTGGAGCTGCAGAGACATTTGATCGAAAAGGTTGCGAATCGTTTTGTCCATTCCAGGTCTTACAGAAGGCGATCTGCCGAAACGTCAGCCAACAAATAGTTGTTGTCAATCTCGAGTGCGGCTTAAATCACAATAATAAGGCCATTACGATACTTCGGCTGGTGTAAGGGCACGGTTGTGAGAAAGTGCCGACAAAATCAGCACAAGTTCTATTGCTATACAACAATGGGGCGGTGCATCTGCTCAGATAATCGTCGGGGGCAGGCGGTCCGCAAACTCGCGCGTTTCTGCAAGGGGTCAACAGAATTTTGGAGCGTGGCCAAACCTTTAGCTGGCGGTACTTCCTTTACGGTCGCATATTCTGCCAGCGGGCAGCAATACAGCATTTTCTGCAAGCGCTCGGCGAATATTTTCTTTCAGCAAGCACTGGCCAAACTTTCAGCAAGAGCTCGGACTTTTTTTTAACCTTTTCGGGCATACGCCGAGCACTGGTAAGGCTCTGTGTGGCAGAGGTGTCACCGTTGGTTTGATTACTTAAGTTTGAGGTACTTTCTCTCAGCGGAAAGTATGGGGGCTGTGCGGTCCTCCACAAAGGACCGTGCGGCCCTCGAAAAATTTGGCTATTCTCGGGAAAGTCCGCAAGAATGCGGCTATTGCGCCGCAGCTAATCTAAAAGGAAACCGCGACTGTTCTTTAAGCATTCGTCCAAACTTCCGCTCAAATTCTTTCAAATATCTGCAAGCGGACCGCAAGAAATCAGCGAACTATTTCTCCGGTGCCGCCCGCCCATAAATCGCATGGTAGCCTGCCCCCGGCGATTATCTGAGTGCAAGAAAAGCGCTTCGGAAGAAGGGATTTTTCTTTGGTAATTCTGGCCTCGCCCGTGTATCCATTTCGCCTACCCAGCCATTGTGACTTGGCAAAGCCCGGATACATATTATATACTATAGTGAGTGTGCTTGCCGTTTCAATGCGCGTCCTATTTGCATCTAGGGACCCACTTCGCCGCATTTATTCCAAAAAAGACCTCCAAAAATCCAAAAAGCGACTGTTTCTCGGAACTTATGCTATGAGATTTTTATTCGAGGTTAGGGCTATGAAAATGAGCGAAAAAGAGCAAAACCTGGAAATCAGTGATCTGGGTGGCTTTGCCTATAGAGTTCACAACGAGTGGTACTATTTTCTGTCTTGTACCCTATGTTCCCTTTCCCTCTCTGTGTCTGCTTAAAGGCAGTGTCCAGGCAAATCTGGGCGTATGGGTTTTTGCCTGAGAACTGTCGAGGGGGTCCTAGTTAAGGCATTGCTTAAACGGCAGCGCAAATCGTTCATTCACGGCCGAGAAATCCATCCCCACACCTCTGACATTCGCGGTTAAGTCGCGCAGGAGATCCGCCCAAAAAATGAGAAATCGCGAGAAAATCGGGACTCTTGCGCGACCCGGTTTTGTCCCGACTTTCGGAATTATCCCGACAGAAAATTTGAAGCGGGAGATTATCGGGAGTCGCGATTTCGGGGCGCGCTCCCAGTGTCTGAACGTAAAGGATTCTTGCGTGAAATACGACGCATGGCCAGACTACCCTAAATGTTCACAACTTTGTATGTGTTACCAATCTTACAGGCAAGAACACTATTAATATGTTGTCTGACGGACAACCTTTGATAGGATCTTGTTGTTATTCAATCTTGAACTCGGTTTGGTTTCCGAAGCTGCTGTACGGTGGCTTTAATTGATTTTTGTATATGAGCGGGACTCCCGCAGGAGCTTCTGGTCTCGGTGGAAAACATTTCGGGACAAGGGCGCGTGTCGCGCAGTATTATACCGAACGAAGTGCAGGAGTTCCGGTTTTCTCGCGAAGCATTTTACTTGAGTCCAGCAGTCATTCCGTCGGGACACAACTTTTTCACCGGCGGGACTTAACCGCGAATGTCTCAGACTCCGCGGCTGCGCCGTGACCGTTACACTTTGGATGGGTTCCAGCGCGAAGTAGTGTTAAAGTGAGCGAAGTCGTTTTCAGATTACGGTCACGGCGCAGGTGCGGGGCTTTCGGGACAGATTTCTCAGCCGTGAATGAACAATTTGCGCTGCCTCTTGGGCAGTGCCCTAGTTAGGACCACCTCATCAGTTTTCCGGCGGAAAACCCATGGGCCCAGACTTGCCTGGACACTGCCTTTAAAGGCAGAGTGCGGACAATGTAGGAGTTCAGTACTATGCGAAAGTGGGCCCTCCATCGCGCAAGTGCGAGACCATAACGTTTGAGCAGAAGCATGATGTACGTGCCAGCGGAATTAAGTTGGTTACCAACTGGTGGAAGCAATTTACATGATCAATCGACGTGAAAAGTTCCAAAACAGGTTGGTAAGATCTATGTAGATAGAAAGGCGGTAAGATGATTGGGATAATATAGGAAGTGTCGAAAAACCCGAAAGAAGCCGTCCTGAAGGAAGTCATCCGAAAGGCAGAAATGAAAAAGAAGATGAAGGCCGAACTGGAAAAGCAATTCCTCATGGATGCTGGTTAGTTCATGCACATACATTATTAGTTTTACAATCTTACATAGAGTATCCTCGACATCATTTCAGGATTCTGAAAGCTCCACGGGCTTTTCGTATAATTCCGTTCAGAGCAATGTCAAGATGATCTCTAAACTACTACCAAGTTAAACCTTCATGTCTCTACCGGCAGTCAAGATCTCAAGCAATCATATTTCCAAACTCAGTCTTTAGATTTCTCTTAACTGCATGTGAACAAATTTGAACATTCTCGTCATTGCAAATGTGCCTGTAAATAAAAATAAATCTACTGATCACGATGCTGTACGCATATAAAAAATGAACAGATGCCTTGAGCTTTATCTTATGCATGCATGATATTTATGGTTCAGTCGGTGAAGGTATGCAGGGGGTTCGCAAAATTTGTGAGCCTTATGGGCTCCTACTCTATCCTAATTTTTATCTGATAAGATTAGTAGGTCCACGTTTACTCGGTCACAGAGACCTAATTTTTTGTGTGTTGTTTCATCCCCCAACTTCGGAAACTTTACTCCTCCATGCATTCAAACATGAGAGCAGGACGGTGGCATCGAAGCTATCGAGTCCTGCCCATTAAAAACAATCATCTTTTTTTAAAGTGCGCAACAAAATTCTCGGATATAAAGGACCTCAATTTATTGAGATGTTTTTGGGAATCTAGATCTTTCGCTTTCGAATTTCAATAAAAAATGGAATTGGGCAATCATGCTTTGTGAAACCTTTTGATTAATTTAGTTTTCACAGGGCTCATAAAACCAGGCACTAACTACAAATGAAAATCACTAACTTGCATGATCTTACAACTCATTTAGACAACCTTCAGTACTTTGAGCATTTCTCAAAAATCAAGCTGCAGCCAACAAATTGCCGTTTTGTTAGTTTCTTTTTTTATTCAGGGCAGAAAATAAAGTTTGTGTTTGAGGGAGCATTAATGATGTAAATGTTGCTGACCACCAAAGCATGCAATGAAGATAATCTGCATTTTTTATGCGCTTACATCCAAGGCATTAGAACCTCCAAAACGGTTTTACATTTTCAGAGATTTTTTTATTCTAATTTTCCCGTAATGAGCATATTGCTAAGTCCAGCATAAGAATTATAGAGAATAAAACATTGCGTTTGGAAGATCCCTCCATGGTGGATCGGTCGTCAGTGATCATCATCATGCCAACCTTGATTTCTTCAACAATACATATGAACTACAAATTAGCCTATGTGTGACCCTCACCCATGTAATCGAGACTTGGAAATGGTTAATTCTGCCCACTCGAAAGCATTCTTCATCTTTTCTGAAAGGGAGCATTATAAAACATGGAACAGACAAAGCAAGAGGACACCTACATTTGGAAAATAAAAGGAAAAATGAAGCAAAAGTTTGGGACGACTCAATATGCACATCTGAAAAAGGCGCTTTCGATTTGTGACTGCTAAAAGGAAAAAGTATTCATTTATTTCTATCAGACACACGAAGAACCTAGCGTTTTACCCTTTACATGTGATCGAGCGAAGGCTTTGCAGAAAATACAATGAAATATCTTTAAAATGATGTTTAAGTAACAGCAATTCCAGAGTTCAAATAAAAGCAATCATTTCTTTTAATGACTGCTGAAAGTCCTCTAGCTAGTTTTCATCAGCTCACAAGAGTGCTACCTGTGCAATAGTGTAAATTTTCTCAACTGCTTCGCTTTTCTTCTTGCTTTCATTGGGAGTTCTTTGTTTTTGTGCCCAAAGTCATTTGCACAGACATCTGCGCATGACAAAAACATGCACTCTGCAAATATTCAGAACGATTGGCAGAAGATGCATGGAGTGGGTGCCGGAGCGCCTGTAAGCCGGTTTTCAGGCAGATCGTTGTGGGCAGAGTGAGAGGAGAGTTCAGCGGTAGCCGTCGAGTGTGGCTACCGAGCGTCCGCGCAAAGCACTGCATCGGCAGGGATTTGCCAAGTGTTAGAATGAGTAGTCACTAAGGCTGCCTCTAGAGTTGCCCGTGACAGCTCCGTGCCTGACCGTCGATTGCTCATGTGAGCGCGTCACAAGGATTCGAGGTGGTGACCATCTTTACCCGCTGGCATCTTTACCATCTTTACCCGTTGGAACGCAACTCCAGACATAGCCTTGGTGAGCACTCATTCTTAAAATTAACCCAGTTCAAGCTGGTTATTGGCTTTCCAGTAGTAGATGCATTGAGTTCAGTCACATCTCCATAGATTCCGTGGTTTGGCACATCTGAAATGATTTTTTATGCATGCATCATTAACCAAAGGAGGATCAGCTGCATCAGCTTGCAGCGGGTCATGGCTTCGCTAAGCTGATGTAGTGCAGAAGGAGAACGCAGGCTATGCACACGGCTGGAGTGGCCCACCCGTGTGAACACTCTTTAGGCGCCGGCCACCCGCATTTTTGATTTTCAGGTTTTGTCATTTCCGCTCATCTTCATGGCCAGGATCTCGAATATGAATTTGATAGCGCAAGAATTCCAAGCTCGCTTTCTGGAAGTCTTTTTTGGGATGAATGCGACGAAGTAGGTCCCTAGATGAAAATAGCACGCGTATTGAGGTGGCAAGCACACTCACTATAGTATACTAGGGTGAGTCAAAAGTATTGAGAACACCGCATCTCTTTTTAAAGCTATTCTCAAGAATGTGTATAGGCAAGTGTTCTAAACGGTGTCCGGCACGGATTTCGTTTCTCTTCCCGACAGCTATAATTTTCAACCAGATCATTTCGTAATTGCTGAAATACTTGCAGAAATTTTGGCCCCAAAGCGTTTTCCGTTCAAAATCTATAGTTTTTCCAAAGGTGGACAAAATACACGACTTCTCATAAAAACTGTTGTTTTAGGTAATATCGAATACCAGCTATCCATGGATCGGAGTACCCTCCACGGCCATGAAATCCATTGCAAAGGAGGTCAAAGCTCACTACTTTCCTAACAGCGGAATGTACTATGTTCCATGCGCAGCAAAGGAAACCCTACCAGACATGGTATTTTCCATCAACGCTGTCAAACACCCAGTGCCTTTCGATGAATACGTACTCGAGTTAGGGGATGGCAACATAAGTTTAAAAGTCACAGATATTAAGGCTACACCCTGAGGAAGGTGCAAAAGCAGCGTAATCTGAGCGGACTCGAAGCGGTGCGTATCTTCACCGTTCTAAATCCTGCGCTTCATGCGCTGTGCGCCTAATAAAACCGCGTCGCGTCCCTGGGTTGCGCCTTCATCCGTCAGTAACCTATATGCAAGAACTTCTAAGAAGCTTTTTTGGTGTGTTCTGACCTTCGTTAATCATGCTGGTAATAATGAGCCATCGTGGATCTTTGGCACCCCGTTTATCCGCACTACTGTCACGTTTACGATATTGAAGGAAAAAGAATAGGATTCGCAAAGGTTGAGCATTAAACCAGAAGTTTTTATTTAACTATAATGGATTACTTCTCATAAATGTGCTCGAAAAATATTTTTTTAAGGAAATTTCATTGCAGGAAATTTCCGCATAGTTCACAGACGAATCACAATGTACATAGTCAAAATCACCAAACGTTATCATGCCGTCGTCGTCCTCTCCTCTGCTGGGCTTCTGCAAATCTTGTACCTTCGACGGGTAACCCAATCTGATGGGCAAACTTACTCTTTTGTCTAACCACACGGTGAACCTAGGGTTGTTGAGTTCAGGAAGAATGTTTTGAATAGGTGGAACAACCTTGAAGCCTATTTCATTTGTATAAGTATCTTTCGACACGATGGATATAAACCTTTTCTACTGCGAGTGCTGGCCAACCAAGTCCAAAAACGCCTTCCACTGGCTGATCTCCATAAAAAGGAGCGATATCCGTGGCAACGCCTAACTCTTGCTGAGGGATGGTTAAACCTTGAAAGGAAGGGTTTAGTCAGTCAATGGGGGAAATTTAAAAGCAACGATAAGTTCTCTTTTATGCTGTGTTAATAAGAGATGGTCCTTTGAAATATCACGAACTGTTCATGGTAGAAGCAAACGACTGAATCTCTACGAAAAGCAGTAGAAGAAGATTGTGCAGGCTTTGTAAATCGGAAAATCTACCCCGGAAACGTGAATTTCATTTGTTTTGTTTTAAAAATGTTATTAAAAAGGAAATGTTTAAATTTCAACAGCATTACCCTAAATTATAAGACTTTCGCAGTTGATCAATAAGTTCTGGAAATGATATCGTGGTTCTCATTTACTTTTGCTTGTTGTCATTTCCTATTGTATAGGAAACGGACTGGCTGAAAATCATTGTCACTAGCTGGTACAACTGCTAGGTTCTTAGCAGCTCTCAAATTCACTTCCTTTCTCTGCTAAAAGCGTCAAGTTAACAAGTTAGGAAAACGAATATTAGGACTTTCTTGAAACTTCATACTACATCCTCTTGCTGTAATTCCAACAAGTTGCCTTGGGTGTTTTACCGCTAAACGTGCAAAAATCGATGACCCCATAATAACAATCAAATAAATGTTTACAATTTTGCCTTAAGCATGTTTACTTACCCCTATAAATCCTATTTCAGCTCACCATTTCAAGGTTTGCAGAATTGGCAAAAATACTATCAGCTAACAATGCAGCTTAAAGGCAGCGTCGGGTCAAATATGAAATATTAGAGTACAAATTCGTCCGCCCTGATAAAGCTCGCATCCAAGCGGCACTGCACCAATTTGTGAAGCGAGAAAACACCTTCAGAAGTGGCGACCGAAACTAACCCGGCGACCGGGACGAGCTACTTCCGTAAGCCAGAGTGAGCATATCGTATATAGTCAAGACCTAGTGTCCAAGGACCCTGCGTCTAACCTTGGCGGACGTCCAATTTCAAAATCAAAGCTTGCGGAATAGCTCGTTTTCGACACCTTCATGCTCTCCAACCTACAATTTCGATATCGACGGAAAAGATAAGCCCAGTTAAGCAAAAAAAGACTTCATCGGAAATTTTGCTTGGACGTTGCCTTTAAGACCCCTTACTTTTTTTGTACGTGTGTAGTGCCAAGTCTGATCTGAATTCTTGCAAGACAAAGGTAATCGCAACATATAATCGCAGTGGTCACGAACGCGATTCTGCCACTCTAGATCTGCGAGAAGTAGAAGGGGGTGACAGAGCTTTCACGCTCGACTTGTCTTTCCTGAATAATCGTGCGTACAGCAGCGTATCGGCAAAACCGAAATTTAAACTGCTTATTTTGGCTTATCTTTACCGCTGATTCTGATTGTGCAGCTTGTAGAATTGGGAAATGTCGAAAATGGGCTCTTTGAGGCCCCAGGTTATTGCGACGTGAGGACGCGAAGCCCGTTAAGGTTAAAGATGCAGGCCCGCAGTAAACCCCACTTCACTTCAGATGATCTCAACTGAGGGGCTGAGTTGAGGTATTTAAGATAAACTGACTAGCGGTCACTCTCACATGCTTGAGAATGCGACCTGATCTGAAGGGTTAGCGTCAGGGCAGGTGCCGCGATGAATTCACCTGAAATCCGTAAGAGCAGCGTCGATTTTGAGATGAATTGACCGAAACAGTGTGCAAAGAATGAGACCAGAGAGAAATCCCGTAAGTTGCTCGTGAGTAACTTACGGACATCGTACTTGACGTATTGTTGCAGCAAAAACGCGCAAAACTGCACAATACCGGTGCCCAAAAAGGAAAGGATCAGTGAACAGCTGATTTCGGCAAAAAACAGAAAAATAGGTTTTACCCTCTTTGCAGAGTTTGCTAGGTTGTTTCTACAAAAGCTACTCAGAGCGACAATCTCTTTATTTATTTTCATTCGACTTTGTCCCTACTTCCTCAATTTTTGATGAAATTTTGGTTAAAAAGACGCAGTTTTGTTTTGCGCATTCATTTGGTTTGTGGATTCCTTGATAGCGGCCGTCATCGATTTCCCTCGATAGTGGCCGCTATCAAAGATTGCTCAGTGATGCGCAAAAATTCGCCACTGTCGGGCGCCGAATCGCGGTCGTGCGGGCTGAGTACCAGTCACATACCTGTTTGACCAAACCTGCACAAGAGGTGTAGGTATTTCCTCTTTGAAAGCACGCAAGATTTTTATGCCTGAAAAGCGATCCGCATCTAGATCAATATCTCGCGGGATGCTAGGAGGTCCTCGTAACTCCGTTCCGAATGATGCGCGGCACCTGGGAACAGCATATTTGGCATCAGCGTTCCAGGATGATTTCAAATATATGTGTCTTATTCCGAAAGCGCGAGCTAAGTTAGGTAGCTTCCCTCGTTAGTCCTTGCCTTCCCAGCCCCCGTAGCTCAAGCTTTGCAAAAAATTGATAAAATTGATAAAAGAATAGATAGTTATAAAAACTAGTGCCGTGTTCCAATTTTGCTCACTTATTCTCTGCGCCAACTCCCAGCCCCATAGGTCGAACTTTGCGAAAAGAATTGTCAAAAATCAATAAAATCGATATCAATCGACGACGAAAAGTGGCCCACGACATCTGCCCTCCCCGAAGTGAATGTTGCAAAGTCTGGTCCGGATCGGTTCGGAAAAGGAATTTATGAGAAATATACGTACACACACAGACAGAAGCTTTATAAAGACGGCTCTTTCCAAAGTCGATTTTCGGGATAAGCGCATACGATAACACAAGCAAGAACATTTCTGGTGAAAGATTCAATAAGCCAGTTTTCTCAAAATCACAGTTCTACAAATCACAGAAATTATTGAAATCATTAAATCATTAAAATCACAGATCACCCATTTGCGTGCTTCTATAGACAGGTCTCATTGGGCTTTTTCTTTCATAAAAATATTGCAAACTGCCTTCATAAAATTAGCTCATGAAAGTATATACCTTTGATAGGCATCACACAATTACAGAATGAGGTTGGATCAAAATATGGTCGGTCTTCGGAGGACGGCGGATCACAGTCGTACGAGAACGGATTTTACCAGACACAGTGACAAATCACAGAAAAAAGTTTTATCATTATAGCTTTACGATTTTACAAAGTCTATTTCTTATCTGATTGATTTTCGTCTAAGAGTGATAACTACTGAATGTAAAGTATATAACTGATATGTCATTTACGTCAAGTTTGTTTGAAACATGAATTTATCGCAATTACATGGCTTCCAGTTCACTTTTTCACATCTACATGGGGTGGCTGTTTTATATGTCTTATGACAGTGCGTGTTATTGTCCTTTCAGTGTGACATGACTAAATTTGATCGGCAATAATTGCTTTTCTGAAACCTTGTATTTGCAGTCATTATTGTTGAAATATGTTCTCAACTTGTGACATACTTTGCTCGCTTCTCTTATATGGTAGAAATTTACAGAAATGTCTGTTACATTGCATGATCAACATTTTTGAGTGAAATAAACCTTGAAGACGATAACGAGAGTTTGGTATTTACTTTCAATGATGGTTGATGGCGTAGTCTAAACCAAGCATACAGGGTTTCCAAAAAGTGAATACTGTTTGATCGTTAACAACTCCGTTGCTTTCATGTCTTTCACCGAGCTTGAAGCATTATTCTGTAGAGCGAGGTTCAACTTAAATTTGTAATATTGAGCGAATCGCCGATCGCTTTTCTTTACTATGGGATTACGGTGAGAATTTCCAGCATGTGGAGCCACTGTGAAATATGCCATCTCATAAAATTTTCTCAAAAAGTCTAAAAAGTTCGTGTATTGGGGTTTTCGCACACGCTGATTTCACTACACAACATTTTATGAGTGTTTTCAGCTTTTCTGACGGGTGTGATCACATTTCCGAAAAATTTTGAGAATTCGCTTTTTACGGTTTACCTGGGATAACTTTAGAAAGAAGCATTACAGTAAAGTAGAAATTTCATATTCGAATTCTTGACTTGTTTATCTTGCTCCGAATAATATGGCCTCCAACGTCTTAAAATCCTTGTCTAAGTTCCGACCGTAATCCTACAGTAATGAAGGGCGATCGGTGATTCGCTCCATACTGTAGTTCTAAGTTAAGCCTCGCTCTATAGAGTTGTACCTAGGAGTTGGCGAAAGGCATGAAAGCAAGGGAATTATTAATAATCAAACAGTGCTCACACTTTTTGGGACACCTGTATAATCAATATACGGGTTAGTGGAGATGTGAGTGGCATGGTATTGAGAGGCGCCGTACGGCCAGGTGGACCAAAGTTCGATCCACTCTGGGTCACCCAAACCCTTTACCCTTCCGGAACGTTTAAAATAACTGTAAATTCGCAAGATAGAAGCACTGTTTGTAACCAATAGGCTCACAAGTCATGAGGTTCGCACATATTTAACGGCCTTGGAGGTAGAATGGGATCAGCATGTCTGCAAAGCGTAATGAAAAGTCGAATCAGGGGAAAAGCAAAAACCGAGAACATAAAGAACCAGAAAGACCGTTTCTCACCTTTCCACTTCTCTTTTTCCTCCCTAAACCTTCACTTCACCCTCCCCCACCCTAAACCTTCACCTCACCCTCCCCACGCTTCTGCAAAGGAGGCGAACTCAAGAACAGCAAACCAACAAAATAAGAGAAAACAAAAGCAAAGGAGGGCAGAATCACCATGCGCACAGCGGAAATAAAAGATTTCAATGTGTTTGCATGAGTGCGCGCTCTCCGACTAGGGCAGACTGCGCCGTCAAAACATTTTGGGAGCGATGAAATTGCATACAGAGAAAACTATGAAACCGTTTTATACAGGGTGTCCCAAAAAAATGTATCGAACGTTTGATTGTTAATATCTCCCTTCTAAAAAAGTCTTTTCTCTTGCTTCAGGTACCATTCTGTAGAGCTGGCTTCAACTTAGATTTGCATTATAGAACGAATCGCTCATTTCTCTTCATTACTGTAGGTTTACGGTAGAAACTTCAAAAAGGGTTTCAAGCAATGAACGGCCATATTTTGCCTCAGAAAGGAAACAAAACAGCCAGAAAGCTTTTACACTAGGCTAATTAGAGTTGCTGGTTATAACTGTAAAGTTCCCAACTTATTATGATGTTTCATTGAAGAGTTATGCCAGGTGAGAGGT